TCCTGATTCTGTTTTCGACGAGTTCAAAGTACTCAATATTTCCCAACTATATACCAGATCTTTACTAATATATATTTTAAAAATAAACAATATATTTTTTGCCAACCAACTCATAACTACCCAACTAGATTTTCAATTATATTGGTATCCTATTTCCAAAAGTGAATAAATCGATAAATAAAACTTCTCCACAATACATTGCAAAAATTATGTTCTCAAAGTTAACAAATAGTTTAAAGTATCCCGAACCTTGCAGTTTGCAAACATTTAAAAATCAAGTAGACAAATGGTTAGTGGAAACAGGCCGTGGCCAGATTGATGGTTATCTTGTGTCATTATATACGTAGGGTGCCGTGTGCGTGTGAGTGAGTGAGATAGTTGCATGAGAGAGAGAGAGAGAGTCGGCTCGCCGCTGGCCCACAGGGACAGAGCAGTGACGGCCCTTTGGGGTTACCAGCCGCCTGTACAGGCCCTGTAGTAGTGAGTCGTTGCATGCGTTTTGTGTGTGTGTATTGTGTGTTTGTGAGTGTGTGTTGTTATGCGTGCGTGAGTGTGTGTTGTTGTGCGTGCGTGAGTGTGTGTTGTTGTGCGTGCGTGTGGGTAGAAGATGTATGAATGGTTTCCAAGTCCCAGTGATTTTTGACAGTATTATCAAATCCCCTTTTTACTGGATTTTTATCATTTTTTTATTATTATTACTTTCTTTTTTTTCTCTATCTTTACACTTTTTAGATACTTCCATAATACTTACGTTATCTGCTATGGCTTCCTAGTAAAATTGTTTTTTCCCTTTTTGTAAATGTGTAATTAGTATGTAGAGTAATAATTTAGTATAACGATGTTAGATTATAGAATATGGATGGACTGATTATAACTCGTTCCCCACGCACAGGCTTCGCCTATGTGGGGAAGTTCCATTACTATTTACAATACTGTTTTGTAATTTTTGTTTTTGCATGGAATAATAATGTTTGATTTGATTTGAGAGAGCGTTGATCCTTTGTCTTTATCAGCCTTTGTGCCGCCACCCGAACTGCCTATAGCCCCTAACTAAACTCAAACATCACAGACCAAAAACCCAATAGTACCGTCGTGCCAAATGCAGCCGGACTTTTAAGCGACATTACCCGAATCTCGTTCAATGTGAAAGGAAATTAAAATTAGATATTGATATTGCATCTTCGACCACTGTTAAACGTATTGCTGTGATTTTGTCCTGGGAAATTAATGATTGTTATTAAGATTTGATTTTCTGTCCAAAACTTCCAAATTAGTGATGGTCGGATCCGGATATCGGACTACCGGATCCGCCGGATCGGATCAAAAAATTCCGGATCTTGGGCTGGATCCGATTTTGATGGATCCGATTTTTTGAAATTTTTTCCCGATTTTTTTCCAAACATAAAGCTGTCTGTATCACTGTACAACCCCGATTTTTTTACCAACACAAAAGAGTCTGTATCACTGTACAACTCCGATTTGTTTACTAAACACAAAGCTGTCTGTATCACTGTACAACCCCCATTTTTTTACCAACACAAAGGAGTCTGTATCACTGTACAACTCCGATTTGTTTACTAAACACAAAGCTGTCTGTATCACTGTACAACCCCGATTTGTTTACTAACATAAAGCTGTCTGTATCCATGTAAGAGACCGATTTCCCACCGATTTGTTTACTAACACAAAGCAGTCTGTATCACTGTACAACCCCGATTTGTTTACTAACATAAAGCAGTCTGTATCCATGTACAACCCCGTTTTTTCCCTAGTGTTTGTCTCTTGATGCAAACAACTTATATGGCAAGGCCATGTCTCAATGTTTGTATCTAGATGCAAATAACTTGTATGGCAAGGCCATGTCTCAGACCGATTTCCCCCCGATTTGTTTACTAACACAAAGCTGTCTGTATCACCGTACAACCCCGGTTTGTTTAATAACACAAAGCTGTCTTTATCTCTGTACAACCCCAATGTTTTTACTAACACAAAGCTGTCTGTATCACTGTACAACCCCGATTCGTTTACTAACATAAAGCTGTCTGTATTACTGTACATCTCCGATTTTTTTACTAACACAAAGCTATCTGTATCACTGTACAACCCCGATTCGTTTACTAACATAAAGCTGTCTGTATTACTGTACATCTCCGATTTTTTACTAACACAAAGCTATCTGTATCCATGTACAAGACCGTTTTTCCCCTAGTGTTTGTCTCTTGATGCAAACAACTTATATGGCAAGGCCATGTCTCGATGTTTGTATCTAGATGCAAATAACTTGTATGGCAAGGCCATTTCTCAGTGTTTGTCTTTTGATGCAAATAACTTATATGGCAAGGACATGACTCAGTGTTTGTCTCTTGATGCAAATAACTTATATGGCAAGGCCATGTTCCAGTGTTTGTCTCGAGATGCAAATAACTTATATGGCAAGGCCATGTCTCAGTGTTTATATCTAGATGCAAATAACTTGTATGGCAAGGCCATGTCTCAGTGTTTGTCTCTTGATGCAAATAACTTATATGGCAAGGCAAGGCCATGTTCCAGTGTTTGTCTCTTGTAGCAAATAACTTATTTTTATGACAAGGCCATGTTCCAGTGTTTGTCTTTTGTTGCAAATAGCTTATATGGCAAGGCCATGTCTCACTGTTTGTCTCTTGTTGCAAATAACCTATATGGCAAGACCATGACTCAGTGTTTGTCTTTTGATGCAAATAACTTATATGGCAAGGTCATGTCTTAGTGTTTGTCTCTTGGTGCAAATACCTTATATGGCAAGGCCATGTCTCAGGGTTCGTCTCTTGATGCAAATAACAATATATATGGCAAGGCCATGTCTCAGTGTTTGTCTCTTGGTGCAAATAACTTATATGGCAAGGCCATGTTTCAGTGTTTGTCTCTTGATACAAATAAATAACATATATGGTAATGGCATGTATCTTTCCAAACTGAATCCGACCCGATTTTTCGGATATCTGCACACCTCTAGTTCTTAGTTTTTTACCTGGATGATAAGCTAACGGCCTATAATCTCGTCTCGAAAATATCCCGTTAGTATTTCAATCCCACCCAATGCTGTGTGATAAAAAATAATAAAAGTATGATTTAAATTGGCATTCTGTTAATTAAGTTTTTTTTAACCCGCCCTTATGACAGTGTGTCATATTTATTTCATTTATCTAGTGTGATAAATTGCTTGTTTTTGACATATGTTATGACTCTTTTGTTTACCTTTTTATTGTTATCTTGCAAAAACTGTCATAGCGACTCTTTTGTTTACCTTTTTATTGTTATCTTGCAAAAACTGTCATAGCGACCAATCAACCCATAAGGTTAAAGTACCATACTTTAAAATTCACGTAGGGAATAGCCCTATAGTCCCATTTGTACCATTTCAGATTTATACTAACCCATAGTTGGTCTACTATGACATTGCTAAATTTTGTGCAGATCGCTTCAGCTGTTTCATTTCATTTAATTTCAAACAATCTTTATTCTTTAAGTACATATTTACAGTACATTGAACAGTGTCGAAAAGTGATTCTTTATTATAACTTAAAACAGTTTTCTAACTTATTTCTACCATTTTTTTACCATAAAAAGAAGGCTATTTATACTATTACAATAGATATTCTCAACAAAACAAATAACAATCATATATAAAATAAGAAAGCAGTAAAATATTCCAAACATCCAACCCTTCAAGTCCCAGAAGGTTTTGAAATAAACTCTGGGCCAAGAAATTCTTGTATATTATACAATGCTTTAGTCGTTATAAAATCTTTAAGTTTCCTTTTTAATATTCTTGGATTCGGCTCTTGTCTTAAAGTTAATGGTAATTTGGAAAAAAATAATGCTCCAGCATAAGTAGGTTTCTTTTTAAATAGTTCCAAATTATGTATGGGTATTGCAATATTGTTCCTATTTCTAGTATTATATTCATTACGTGCCTACGTGACCTACGTGTTCTACAGCCTGTTGAGGAGGAGTATATGAAAAATAAAAGCGAGGGTGTAGTATAAGAGCTTCACTTGGTCTGCTCGATTACTACTTAACCCTCTGAGTGTTATTTGTCGCTGCAGCGACACATAACACACTTTGTGTAGTGTTTTGTGTCGCTGCAGCGACTCACAAACACTGTTTACGGCGAAGGCTCTATGACTGACAAAATCGGATTGAACTGGATCGAGTTAGGTATCGTTTTATTTGACAGATTCAGAGCTTTCTCCGGAGGTCTGTCTCTAAGCGCTTTTCATTTTAGTTCCGAAAATATTGTAGCAGACAGCTGACGTGCGTATTTGTAAACAGCTTGGTTAACCTCGGACCGATGACTGATGTGTTTTATTACGTTTATCATTGTTTTAGTGTTAAAAATCAAAAATAGTGATATACGTGGTGCATAATAAGAAGATTTAAGTGATTTTGAAGGGCTGGTTGATGATCCTGAAGAAGTAGGTAGTGATATTGATGTAAATTATCAGCCAGATTCCTAGCTATGGTTAGGCTATGCATTCTTAGCTAAACGCTATGTACTGAAATCTGTTTTTTGCCCATAAATTATTTATTTGCAAATCTACTTCCTTATATTATTATATATTTGTAATCCTCATAAAATTTAGAACAAAGTGGCTATTTTCAAATATTCATAGGCCTATAATTTATACAATTTCATTGAGCGCAAACTTATTTTTTTTTTGAAAATTTTCCAAAATATTTTTTTACCTAAAAATTTTTTTTGAAACAAATGTTTCTTATGTTCTATGTATAATATTGAAGCCCATGATTTTCCAAACAAAATGGTATATAGAACAGTATAATTAACATTGTTTTCAAGCTTCTCAGATCCGTTTTAATAAAACCTTGCAAATGAGCAAAAAATAGGCAGACATTAAGGCCAAAACAAGGGACACTCGGAGGGTTAATTTGTTGTATCAGTAAAAACGTATAAGTTCAACTGTTTTACTTTTATTTGTGTTATTTGTTACACTGTTACTTACAACAGTCTCAGCCTCTGGTAGGTCGCAGGGAGGAGGAGCAGGAAGATCCTCATCTGGTAGTGGAGGTATAAACTTGCAGTGATCCTCCGGCAACTCATGCCCTTCTGGAACATACAAAACATCAATATATCATTCACACCATAGGTAACTGAAAGGTGAAAACAATCCGTTTCTTATCATACAATTTGTTGTCAATGATGAGTCAAATGTAGTCTGACTTACAACAGATAAAACAGATATATTATTTTTTTTATTACAAAATTGCAGACAAAATACCCTTCAAACTCCCCTTTCCCCCTTATTGAGTAATGATAGCCATTCTGCGCTGATATTTAAAATTACAGTAGCAAAAGAACTGTATCGCCTAATAATTTGCGGACAGATTGGAGTATATTTATCCAAACTCAAAGAGCAATTAGTAAATCTCGCCATTTTGGTTATAGCTTTGTATCGTAGAACAACTGCTCACCAGGTGTTTCCTCATACTCCATGTCGTGAGACTCAGCACTCTGTGATGTATCATCAACATCCGAGGCTGTTGCATTAAGAGACAGCTTCTTACGCTTATATCCTCCAGCAATCTTTCCCTCCAATCTTGTCAACATGACCTCCACACTCTGCCGCTGAGACTGCGGAGGACAGCCCCAGTAGCCACTGTCCTGCAACATAAAGAGAAGCCCCTAACTTGAAGTGGATTGATGTTGCTTATAGAGTCATGCTTTACCCATGTTTTGCAATGGGATGATAACATAGAGGAGTATTACTGATTGTTACATACGGCATCTACCTACTAAAGATTTAAAAACAAATCTTTTACATCCTTTAATTCTACAAACTCTCACTTTGGCAACCCACAGGGCAATATTAAAAACACAATATCTAATTGAGAATTTTTAATGTACAATTCAAATGTAATATTGTGTAGAAAGAATTGTGAGATTTTATTATACTTTACATAATTCAGAAGTGATTTGTTATATTTGAAATGAAATAAGTCCTTCTCGAAGTAAACCCTCTCATTTCAAATAGCCTAATGATTGTTTTGGATAAACATAAACTTGCCAGATTACTTGTTAATTTAAAACTGCTGGTGATAGCTATTATTATAGTGCAATTAGCTTAAAAAAAGAGCAAACCGGGACATAAAAAAAAAGTTCTAACCAGCGCCAAATTGTTGAATACACTTCCCTTAATGCGTAAAAAAAAGTTACCCTGATTTGAGTGTCGGGTTTGGGGGCGAGGGGGTGAAAATAGGACTTTTTTACTTTTTCGCAAATACCTCGAAAACGGTGCGTTTGTTTAGGCTATATTGATATATTATAATGAATTACAAAAATAGTTTCATTAAATTTTGAACAAAATGATAACATACATATCTACTATGAACGGTTCAGGAGATATTGGGGGTAAGTGTGATTTTTTTTCTTAATATTCTAAAAAAGTTGGTTTTTAAATGGAGGAAACCTATGGACAGCCATAGAAAAAGTTTCTAATGAGTGCTAAATTGTGCAATACCCCCCCCCCCCCCCTTATATGTGTAACAAAGTTACACAGATTTTAGTGTCTGATTTTGGTAGAAGGGTTTAAAAAAGGGAGGCTCGTAAAGGGTGCGTTAAAAATATAATTAATTACAAAAATAATATTTATTGAATTTCAAACACAATGATACTATACACTACCTATCAACTATGAAAAGTTGGAAAAATTGCATCAACATTCTAATAAAATCATAAAATACGTTAAAAATATTGATTCTCTTGTTGTTCCCTGTATACAGGGTGTTGTAAGTAAACAGCCAAACTCCAGGAAATGGTTCTTATGAGTGAAAATAAAAAGAAAATCAATCAAGAATATTTTTTTTTCCAAAATCGCTTTGTTAACCAGACGTATGCCATTTTGTTTTTTCACATAAACATTATTTTATCTTTAAATTTTTTAACCGATCATTATGTAACTTAGTATGTAGCCTATGTTGAGGTAAAATAGACCCACGTCAGAAAAGAAATTATCTTAATCCAATTAAAAATTTCAAAATGGCGGCCATTTAAATATTTAAAATTAAAATTGCTAAAAATGGCTAATTTTATGAAAAACATTTCTACACTTATTTAACTTTAAAAATAATTAAAAAATTACTAAAATATCACGATTTTTTGTGTAAGATGAGGCAAACCAGAATCGCGTAGTCTTGATCACAATAATTAATCGTTATATATTCAGTTTTTTTTTATCCAATCCTTTTGAACTTGGTGTCGTTTGATAGGGAAATTTAAAAGCTAAATAAAAGTGTTTTAGACATTTTTTCATAAAATTAGCAATTTTTAGCTATTTCAATTTAAAATAATAAAATGACCGTCAACTTAAATTTTTTTATTGGAGTAAGAAATATTTTTCTTCCTACGTGGGTCTATTTTACCTAAACATACATACGAAGTTTGATAATGATCGGTTGAAAAAATTCAAAGATATAAATGTTTATGTGAACAAACAAAATGCGGATAGGCCTATCTGGTTAACAAAGCGATTTTGGAAAAAATTGTATTCTTGATTTTCTCTTTATTTTGACCAGTGTTGCCGTTTTGCGCGTAATTACGCTTTTTGCGGATTAGAGAGGAAAAAACGGGATTTTTATGCTCGTGAGGAGGGATTACTTCCGGAGCTGTGTGGCAACACTGATTTTGACTCAAAGAACCATTTCCCGGAGTTTGGCTGTCTACTTAAGGCACACCATGTATATATTAATATTATATTTAATACGTACGTATTATAAGTAAGTTTGAACGAATCAAGAATACTGTATCAGGTTAGATTATATTTTCCTACAGTCACGCGACAAAGTGGGCTTCCTTGCACAGATTATAGCACAGAAAGCTTCTATTTTTTGCATATACTTACTTTTGTCGCACAGTTTTTACGTTGTCGTACAGTTTTTACTTTGTCGCACACCAGTAACCAACCAAACAACACAAAACAGCGTGCTTTCATTATGCACCTAATCCGTGTACGCTTGGAAATAGGTTGGCAACAAAGATATTACAATTACAATCAGCTGTAGCAGTGATTCCCATTTCATTCACCGATTGGATTTAACCTAACCTAAAAAGGTGTTGTATAGTGTTTGAAAGACCAATTATTAATATGATTTATATAGTAACTGTAGGAAAAATATAATGTGTAACACGAGTGCAAAGTGCCTTTGCTGCACTCCAGAGACCTTCCACACTCGCCTGAGGCTCGTGCCTAAGCAGTTCTCTAGTGTGCAGCAAAGTGTCACTTCGCCCACTAGTTACACAATAGTTATTTGTGTAACTAGTGGGCAAAGTGGCACTTTGCTGCACACCAGGCGGCTCGTGCGGAATGATCTCAAGTGCAGCAAAGGCCTTTGGCACTCGTGTTACACATTATATTTTTCCTACAGTCCCTATAAAGCATATAAATAATTAGTCTTTCAAACACTATACAACACGTTTTTAGTTTCAGCTGGCAACACAAATAGGTGCCCTAGAGAAAGTAGTACCTGGTCCGTATCACTCCGCTATTTATCCTCGGCAAGAAATGTGCTCCACGACTTAAGAATATAGTTCCGTATGTTTATGTAATTTGAAGTGGTTTCCGCTCCTAAAAAAATCCTTTAAAGGTATTTTCTTGTTTACGTATTAAGATCGTAGGAATGTTTTAAAAACTTTTAAAAGAAAAGTCCAGAAAGTTCAGAAATACCGAAACTATAAACACGAAATGACAGATTAAATCGTAGTTATAATAACCAATCAGCTGCTCATAGTATTATTATCTTTAAGTGTTGCCAACCTATTTCCAAGCGTACATGGATTACGTGCATAATAGAACCACGCTGTTTTGTGTTGTTTCGTTGGAATCCTGATGTGCGCCAAAGTATTAACCGTACTGTTATAAAGTAAAAGTTTATTTATTAAATCAATATTAATATTATGGAAAAGGTAGAAGAGCCTTAGTTTAGTTTTCATACAATTATCAGGAAACATACAATCTAAGAACAATAGCATGATGGGCTATAGGGCCTAAAATGAACTTTGTACCTGTCCGCCCTATAACCCATCAGAGGATGAAGCCAAGCGATAAGAGGCAGTCTCAGTCATGATCCAGGTAGTGAAGACCTATGCTTATAGTGTTCAGTATATTTAAATTGTGCATTTGCCATAAGCATAGTTTTACCTTAAACATATGTTTATTCCGGGTATAATAAGTGGCAACGAGTATTTTTAAAGAATTTCACGTGTGAATTTGTTTTTAAAGTGTAAAAATTGCAAATTTTGTAAATATTGCAAAAGGCCAGTAGCAACAGGAATAGAAGAAATCGTGTTCGTGTTCAAGTAACTGTTACATGCAACGGCTCCAGCTAGCAGTTATTGGAACAGTGACAAGCAACAGTTATCAAGCAACTGAGACCACGAAGCAGTTACTTCAAAGTAACAGGGATAAGTAACAGTTTTTTACACTGTTACGTTATGAAATTGGTTCCAAACAATAACATAACCTGTCTTGAACTTGGAAAAGTTTTGTAAAAGGTTAAATGTATGTTCAAATGAGAAATTGGATTTCTTCTGTGAGTATTGCTTCTAGTTATTGATTATAAATATGGCAAAGCAAACTATAGGAAAAGTAAATGAGTTTAATGAGGAAATTGAAACTTTTGAGAACTATACAGAGAGATTAGAAAATTTCTTTACCATCAATAAGATTGATGATGATAATAAAGTGGCTTACTTTGTTTCAATCATGGGCCCTGCCCTATATTCAGTTCTGAAAAACCTTCTGCATCCTAAAAAAGTGGGTGAAGTAGATTATAAGGGGATTGTAAAAGTATTGAAGGCACACTATGTACCAAAGGTTAACACTACTTATGAAAGGTTTATTTTTAACAAGCGCTCCCAAAAAGAGGGGGAAACCATATCTGAGTATGCAGTACAGTTAAAAAAACTAGAAGCTAGTTGTAATTTTGATACATTTTTGGACGAAGCACTTAGAGATAGATTTTTATGTGGGCTAAAGTCACCTTCTATTCAAAGCAAACTTTTAGCGGAGGGGGATAGCCTAGACTTTTCAAAAGCCCTAGAACTTGCTCTTTTGACTGAAAGTGCTAACAAAAATGTTAGATCATTGCATCCTGAAAAGCAATCTTGTGAAATTAACCTAGTTAAGCCTTCATACAGTAAAACCTCTGTAGGCCTAAGACAGTCAAAGCCAAACAGGTATTTTAATAAGACGAGTACCAGTAATGCTAGTTACCAGGGTAACAGTAACAATGTGAAATATAGATGTTATCGATGCGGCAAATCGCATGATGCTAAAGCCTGTCCTTATACAGAATATACTTGCTTTTCTTGTAAGAGGAAAGGACATTTATCTAATATGTGCAAAGCTAGGAATACCTTTAAGAAAAAGGGATTCATAAACTTGTGTGATGGTGACAACACGGAGGATGAACCTCAAGTTAAAGATCAGCATGACAGCGATGAGTTTGAATTGTTCACTATCGCTTATGCAAATGGCAATAAACCTGATGTGCTTGTTCTTAATATGTTAGTCAATGGTACTCCAATTGACATGGTTCTGAATACGGGGGCGGTAGTAACCGTCATGCCCGACGATGTTTATTTTAAACATTTCTATAATGAGGAAA